GAGCGCCCGAAGAGGTCAGCCCGAACCCCGCCCGTGCCCGAAAAGTTCGGGCTCGGGCTCGGGCGGGAATTCGGGACGGGCACCCGTTGCGACCACTGCTTTTCATCGAGTGTGAAAAAGTCACAAGAGATCGGTTTTGTCATGAGTCATATCAAAGAATAGACCAAATTCAATCGCAAATCACGAGTATTTCAAGTGCCTTCAGATGATCGACGTTTGCTGTGCTGCAATCGATTTGTCAAACTTAAATTGAATATGACCGGAGAAAAATACAGGATTAAACGGTTGGAATCGACGATTTTCTTATCAAATCGATCAGTTTTGCTCAAGGGATTCACGTATGCAACGAGAACAGCAAAGGCGACACTTTTTTCCGCAATCCAGAGAAGATAGTACGCCCAAATGTATCCGAAGAATTATTTCAATCGTTTGAAAATAGTGTCAATGACCACGATGTCCCCCATATTGATCTGGCTGTGCGAATCAAATGCTATCACAAAATTGACGGTATACTGTTTTTGCTTGTTGTGTGTGTGTGTGTGTGTGTGTGTGTGTGTGTCGACCAACGATGCTGCTATCAAATTCAAATGAGCCAATATCTATAGAGAAATTCATAATCTAGTTACAACATCTACGTGCTGACACAATTGTATTGAAAACACTGGAAATGAATGCCCTATTTTCTGAACCAAACCTGAACAGACTTGAACTGAACGTGAATGAACGTGAACAGTTTTGAGAAAACTGAACATGAACTCGAACAAACATAAACATTATTTTTCTCATTTTGAACAATTTGAACTGAACGTGAACGAACATGAACAAGACTACAATAATATTTCTGAACATGAACCGTTCATGAACGTTCAACTGGCAGCTCTAATGGGCGTTCATTGAGACACAGCGAACAATTCAAGGTCAATGACAAGCACATGAAGTTGGTGCGTGAAGCTCCAATTCCTCAAATGTGCAAAATGGCGAACATGGTGCCGGAACTTTTCACAGCAGCGACCTCCAAGAAAAATTTTGCATCATCGGTTCGCAAAATGACGGACACCACTTTTGGATCGCTATGCAAACTCAAATGACTACCTGGCCACCCAGTCAATTTTTCATCCAGGTAACCTCATTTTTTGTATATGTTCTCCACGAGAACACCTTGATACTGCCCACATTAATGATGAAATTGCGATTTTCATGTTGCCAACAAACCCGATCTATGATCCAAAGCGGACGAATTCATCAAGGACAAAGCATACTGCCCGGGTGCCATTTGGGTTGCTTCTGATTGCAACAAACATGAGCGGGGCTGTCCCAGGTTCCAACCACCCACGTGGAATTCAACTCATCTCACACGGATCACACAGCATAATCAATACTTAAAGACTGACGAATTTTTCCATACATTCTTTTATGTGTATTGAAAAGATGATACTTATCTGTGATGTTTACATTATTTATTGTAAATTTTTATTTTGATTTTGTGCTTTTTTGTAGCCACGAAGTTGGCGAGTTAATATTCTTATCTTTCAAGTCAATTTTGAATTATTTACCATTTAGCATCAAATTATCTAGTTACGTTTCAAATCATGGTCCATGTCAACTCAATGCACTCTGCAATCAACATGGATCTGCCTAAACCGACGTAAAACTTCTCATCAATTTATCTATCGGATAAATTAAGTGACGACTTTTGCAGTCTCAAAGTCTAAATTTAACGCGCAACAGTTAACGCTTCACATAGCCTTTGTCCCTTTGGAAACGTTTACCAAAGATTATCCTGGACCGTTTACTATAGACTAATATCAAGCATTTCCATCTTGGTTGTATGACTGTTTTCGTTTTCATGTTCCTACTATTGTGAATACCGCATGATGTACGAAAAGAGCCAGGTTTTTAACGAGGCGAGAACTGATAGTTATCGAAACCTATTGCTACTAATTGTTTATTATTTTAAATATGTAACAGTCTTGCACTCTTTTCCGGCCAAACCTCAATCAGAACCCACATTATATTCAGCCAGAGCTTGGCGGTGTTTAATAAAATAAATAAAAATAAAATATGAATCAATGTATTTCTGGTTTTTGCTGTCGGATCGTGGTTGTTCATTAATGTTTAGTACATTTTGGCACAGTTTAGTACCATTTAAAACGATGCACTGCCTCCCAGATTTGTTAGTAATCGCTGGAAATGCATCAGAACCATTTTTTTCAAATTTAGTACGATTTAGTACAAATTAGTACATTTTAGTCCGTGCACTGCATAGCTCTGATGAAGTACTGAAACCTTGCTCCTGTGACCAATACTTTATTTCTAACGGCTGAGAATTTACAGGCTTACATACTGAAAAATGCACACCTGTCAAAATTTATCGGTAAATCAGAAAATTGCAAATCGCACCACAAAAATGAAACGTAGTGACCATAAGCAATCCACACCAAAAACAAAATCAAAAAAATATTCATATTCCCAAAAGTTCTCTAAAGTAAAGTTGTGCCGGTCTCGGAGCATTTTATTTCTAATTTTCGGGGGCACTGTAAATTTTTCTAAAGATTTCTTTTCTTCTTACAGTTTATCCTGTATATGCGGATTGCGGACACCTTTCTGTGACTTTTTTTTACCTTGTTTACTAATGGAAAGTGATAGTAAAATTACGGAAAAAAGTATTTTTTGTTGCACACATCTTTTTATTTTATTCATTTTTTCTTACCGAAATATATTTGATTCATATTCTCTGTATTTTTTGTATTTCATGAGAATAAAACTGAAATGATTTCATAAAAACATTAATACTATGATAGTTTTTGTTTGTTTAATTTTTTCTAAATGGATCTGTTATGTTTTATTCAGCAATGCCACGTTTTTTATTACGTTCCGCTCGCCTTTTGAAAAATAACTCTTGGGCCTCAGGACTTAATTTGCTAAGTTGATTGCGAAGACTTTTTAGTTTTCGTTTTTTCACTTCTTTTGGACTAAGCGTTGTTAATACATTATCCAATATTTCATTGGTTTGAATAGCCAATTGATTTGTTGCTTGTTCCGTACGTTGTCTGACAACTTCAGTTTGATCGGTTTGTTTGCTTTGTCCGGTGTGGTATGTTGTTGTGTTGAGTATATTCGAATTAGATTTATGTTCATACTCCGGTTTTAGTTTTTTGTGATTGTAATTTGCTGTATATCGTCCATCGTGATGATTTACATCATTTGATATCGTTGTCGTTGTCCTTGTTGTTGTCGTCATCGTTGTGTTTGGCAAAATTGTAGAAGTGGATTCCCTGGTTGTAGGTAAGTTCATTCTTTGTTTTTGACGCCATTGGCGGTTATAATTATTCTGCTGCCAAGTGCTATTGAAATGAATGGTTTGACGAATACCCTGTGCTCGATAACGGTTCAAATCGAATTTCCTATTACTTCGACTCTTCGGCGTTTTTCGATTTGGCTTCTGATATGCAAAGTCTTTAGGATTGATACCATTTTTTTGTCGATGATTTAGTTCATCTTTGGTCTGCCGACTGTTTGATCGTGAATTAAGCCCATGTCTCCTGCTCTTAAACCTACCATTTGGAATTATTCAAAGGAGAAACATAAAAAATGAGAAGAAAATCAAGTGTCGAAAAATATAAAACGTAGCCCAATTAGAACGACATCATTACATAAACAAATCATTTTGGGACACCACATGCAGAACTTCATTGGCCATTTGATTAGGATAAGTTTCGTTCCATTTGTTATGTATCTCCTTCCGTTTTTTCTCATTTGCAAACTTAACCTTGTGCTGGCATAAGAATTGAAGCTGTTGCTCACACGAACTCGCCGACCATCTAGACAAAAACAAAGGATATAATCGTAAATCACCGGTCATTTTGTTACCTCAAAATATTATGTTTTCGGTCGAGAACAAAATTCATTAAAATACAAATAATATATGGATCAAACATGTGTTTTAAGATTGCTGAGCATCTCAGCATTTCGTAAGGCACGGATATATCCGAGCATATCGACGACGCATACAGTGACGTACGTTGCTACGCGCAGCCGCAACGACTCGACCGGAATGTGTATGTTGTTGCTGCGTGCAGCCACATCAACTGAACACACTTCGGTCGAGTCGTTGCGGCTGCACGTAGCAACACACGCCACTGTATTATACAGTATGCGTCGTCGATATGCTCAGATATATCCGTGCCTTACGAAATGCTGAGATGCTTAGTAATCTTAAAACACATGTTTGATATGGATCTTTCGGTCTGGACTTTTAACCAAATAGATGAATTTTTCGACGTAGTTCTCTTTGCATTGAATAAAATCGATTTCTCAATTCATCATCACCATCTTTACAAATGTTCACTGTAAAAGTAAACTCACCTATATTTTAGCTTTGGTTTCAGAATGGCACAATGGAACTTTAAATCTTTGTTATCCCTGAAAGAAATCAGGAAAAGTCATTAATTGTTTGATTTCGACATGAAATTTCGTGTTGAAGAAATAAACATACGCCGACATTTGACTAAACGATTGATATGTTAAATCATCTCCATTATATCCCCATTGCCATTTATTTCGTTCCCAATTGAATCGTGCTCCAATCCACATTTCGCCTAGATTCAAGCCACTCAATTTATTCAAATGCTTTCGAAGTAAACGGTCTTCCTTTCTTGATGGTTCCGCCAAACGGCTATTCCTCTCTTTGCACTCGAAATGAGCATCGAGCCAATTTACACGTTCTTTCGATATAAAATAACATATATTGCCAACAGGAATAAATGCGGGAGGACAAAGAACATACATCGGCCGCTCGCCATTGATTTGAGTTCCCAAAAACATCACTGCAACATGAAAAATGTGAACTATTTCATTCTATTTAACGAAACAAATAGGAAGGGGGTAGGGAATTGCCAAACCAAACACCAACACAATAATAATCTATACTTACGGAATAGAAAACAAACTATTTGTATGTTTCGGAAACCCATCATTCACATTTGACCAGAAATGTTCCAATTATAGTGTTTTCAGCTTCCTATTGCGGTAGCAATAGCATGAACACTATCTGATTTATCTGAAATGAATACAACAATAGAAAATACATATATTGATGACTTGACGGTGTGTCGTCTTCCAATCACGTGTGATAATTATTTCTAGAATGCTGAACAAACATAGATCCAGTGAATTTATTGTCGGAGTCGATGATTAATGAACCTATCGCAGACTATCAAATGCATTATGAATAACACTTATTATGGAATCGTAAATCTTTATTCATTTATCATGATATGTTTGTTCTACACATCTTAACGTAATTTTTTGGGATATATTCACGGGTGCGAAAAGAAAGAATATGGACGTTGAAGAATGCAAGCACCATGTATTACATTTCAAACGGCAATATGAGTTCGCTTATCATTTATAAATTGACACATATTTAACCAAATGACGTAATAGACAGAATCAATGCTTTGACGAGACAGTGTTCCAACATTTAGCAACCAAAAGCATCCAACTTGGCACGAGTAATTTTTAATTAAATTTCCATACTAGCAAAGACATTTGCTAAACGCATTTGAAAGTTCCCACAAAGAATGGCATATTCTTTGGAAATGGTGCAAAAACATAGAAGCCGAGCGAAAAGATATTGAATGAAGTGAAACTAGAGCGCATTTGTATCTTATGCCTTATACTTCGGGTCTTTTTTCTTTCTTTCGTTGTCACTTTATGGCCTCTAAAAAGGTTTATATATACATTATTTTCATTACTCTGAATATATTCGAATTCACATTAAATTTAAGTGTTTTAGCGCATTCAGCGCCACAATGCATGCATTAGATCACATAAAATTAATAAAACACTCAAAAGGCTGTATTCGAAAAAGTGCTCTCACTCAATGCTGCGACTTTCAACTATTTGCTATGATGATCTCATCCCTATGCTTTCCAGTACACTATATCATAACGAAAGAACACAAACATATTCATCAGATATTATTCAAAAAGAAATACCAATTTAAAAATAAATCAATCAATTTTAAAAGGCGTTATTTTAATCGTCTACGGTTAATGATTGCACCAAAAATTCTTTTCATCACGTACGAATCACATAAAATGGGTTAACGAACATTATTAACGAATTTCAAGCGAATTGTTGAATTTTGCACAGATTTTTGCTTATATTTTTGTTGTCCGTTTGGATGTGAAAATTAGTTTTGGGTATTTAAACTCATGTTGAAAATATAACACTTTGTCAAGTGAAAATTTGAAACCAGTCTATTCGAGTTTATTCAGATTCACATTTTTCATGCATTCGAATCACACTGAATCATAAATAGCGCTTCCTTCTTCGACTTATTTCACAAAACCGATTCATGACAGCTCAACATGTTTACAGCTGCATTCCAAGTAAGAATATGCGATTTACCCGATACCAAAAAGTATTGAAACACGAATTGCTGCGAAAAATATCATTTGAATGTTTATGTTCTGGGAAGTCGTTACCCTATAAATATTGAATGAAATTTCATTGCATTAAGGCATCGTAATTTTAGAATCTTTACACATTTGGCCCACATTACGAAATCTCAAGCGAAAATGTTACAATCGACATGAGAGTTAACAACAACAAAAAATCAAGAAACTTGCTGTATTAATGAAAGATATAATCCGAACGTGACATATGACTGATGAATAATGGACTGTTCATTTATTGTTTTTGATCAGATTGAGATAACCATAAACAGAAATTCGTTGGCATATTACGGTCGATTATGTGAGGTAAGATTTGAATTGAGTTCATTCAATCGACGAGACAACGTAATTTATGTTTCGCAAATGACAGTGTCAAGAAAAATCTGACTGGTTGTCATTTTTCCGGCAAATCGATTTGCTCCTGAAATGGTTGTATCAGGTTGTATACATAGTATTGCAATTTGTGGAATATTCACATTGCGGGTATCGTGCGTATTACATGCATTGACTCGACTCATGATTGCAATCTGTGCATCATGAATGGCTAATTTTAATTCCGCAAAAGTGGTAGCATAAGTTAAAATAAAATTGTTTATGAATTAAGTTGTCAGAGCGATTGAGAGTATGTTCGTGGTCATGTCAATAGTTTTCATTTTATCGACCGCATGTGTACGCAGTGCTATCTGACAAACAAAGTGATTAAGGCGTGCTATAAATGTAAATATACGATATGATGATTTAATACCAATACTTGTAATACCGCGAAAATATAAACGCGTTTCGCTCATTTAGATCATTCAACGAACATCATGAGTAATAATACATGATTCAACGTGTTACGAATAAGAGGGATTTCGTCTTCTTTAGTGCAATTTATGTAGGGTGTACAATACAGTACAGGTATACAAATGCAAAAATACCATCAAATTCTCTAATGCTTTTCGAAAGACCTTCTTTACTTTCAAAAAGATTTCGGTTGGATCCAGTAAAATCAATTTACTCGAAATAAATTCTCATTAGTTTGATTGATCACTAAAATATGTCTGCTTGCCAAATAACGATACACTATCAATTAATTGTTGTAAAAAACAGTTCGATTTTGAAAATATTGCCGTTTGCCTTTCTGACCTCTTAATATATTATCATTTCATAAAATGCACAACTCATTTAATTTGATGGTGATTTATAACCGAAATTTTTATTGAAGTTTAATAAACTGGTTCAATTGAAAAAAAATTACTTTTTCGTTTCGATCGTTGGATTCGCGTTGCTCTGGACACTGATTAAATTATCGACTGATTCACATTCTACAGGTCAAAACGGATGCGGCACCATCAATATATGCAAGACAAAGTTAACTGAACTTTCGTTTCCTACGCACTCTTTGAAATAAAAGAACTGTTTAAGTTTAGAAGAGACTTAATTGACCTTATATTCGATCACCGCTACACCGTTGTTTCCCACGACTCAATTCTTTCAAGATGTGTAACGAACTTGAATACGTGTGATATATATTTGTGAAATGTTGATTTCATGTATGATCACGGCCTCTGTTCAGGATAGCAGTTGAATCGCAACTGAACGATTTTGCTGTCATCATCTTGTGTTTATTGCGGCGGCTCTTTGCTGGTGCTATTGCTTCTTCGGTGTGTAAAAAGTCGAAAAAGAAGTTATATAATTTTAAAGCAGTATGTTTATCGTGTGTTTATTTCATACAGACACACACAGCTAGCAAGCAATTTCTTACATACACATTATACCACTACACTCACCCTGTGTGTTTTTTACACGCGTCTGGTCTTAATGCGCTTTGCGTCTTGTATTGTATGTCTCATATTCTGTTTGGCTGATGAAACAATATAGAGATTTTATTGTTGCTGTTTTTAATATTCTTTCGCTTCTTTCAGCGTTTCTGCGGAAAGCCTTGCGCACTCATTTCGTGGCGTGAACTGAACGCGCCGTCCCGTTTTTGTGGGACAACAAAAAACTGTGTCCCGCTTCTGTTGATGATCGTGTCGCAACAAGAGTTTTGCCTTTTATTTTTTTGTTTCATTTTCGATTCGTGTTCTCACGAACTGTATCGTATTGTTTTATCGGTATTTTAAATTGCATTCGTATGTAACAATCATTGGCTGTGATTCTGCACGCAGAATAACAACAATAAAACGTTTTCAATTGTTTACTTCAAGACCAACGTACGACACATGCAGCATCTATAATATCCAAAGAGGAGCATTTCACTACCGCCAAGAAAACAGTTCCCTGTATGCCTTTAACCCATTCGGTTTTTCTTTTCTATCTCCATTTGTTTGTTTGTTGTTGCTCATGATGTTGTCGGCGGTAACTTATCGCCATTTGTAGACACATTTCGTATCAGTGAACAATGACAATACGATCGCCTTTTCCCTCATTCTTCGCGTTTGTAATATCAGTGCGGAAATTGAGTGTTCAATTCAAATTCGATGCACTCTACTAGCAAACCATTTGCTGTATGCGAAAAGAACATATATCGTAAAGAATATGCTTTGTATCGTATCGCATCGCCATGCAGTCGCGACTATTGTTTCACAGCTGATACCTGGAGGTGACAAATTGTATGATTTTCATTAGAATCTGCGCTAACATTTGTGCAAATACCTACTGAACGGATCCAACACCGTCGTACATAAGCGTTGTTTTGTAGCACATTGAATTCGACACGCATGCGATAAAATTCAAGCCCGACTTCAGTTTGCTGGCCATTTTTGTACTCTCTATAGAGAATGCTATATCAAAAAATATTAACCACTTTTGCTGTACAATTCGATGGACATAGGTGTGTTTGTCTTGATATCCATTATTAAATGAAATAAATTTGCAACTATTAATTAGCGGTTCATGTGTCAACATTGCTGACTTGACAATCATTCTTCTTATTCTTTTTTTTTCTTTCTCCTCCAAATTCACAAGCATGTACATGTACAATCAACAATTGTTTCAACAGAATTATTGACTCCAATGACGCAATGGAGCGGTCAAAACAGGTAGACTTCGATTGGCTCATAATTTGTAGTACCCTACATATTCTTAAAATTATTTGTCTTGGCATTGACCGTCGCACATAAAACAAGAGATTTAATGGAGTCATTTTAAATGGGGCAAGAGAAATGAGTGTGTCTCCTGTATTAAACATACCATTTTTATTTAGTCTCCGCATGTGCACATTTTGTGGCCCAGTCTTAACATAGTGAATATATAAATTGTCAAAAGTGAAGAAAGATATTTTCTTCAGTTTGATTCGAATTCATTGCTTGCATTGTTCTGTCGCATTATGATTTAATTTATTGAAACTATTAAATATTTGAAACTAACTAACATATTTGCCGTCATCACAATTCCTCGCAATGAACGAAAAAAGTTGTGTCATTTTGAAATACACAATTCAAAATTGAAATATAAACAAAAATCATACAATGTATTCAATAAATGTACAACAAACATTTATATTTCTACATATTTTTCAGTGCTTGCAGCGGAACATAAATCCTAACCACACAGATAGCACCCTTCAAACCTGTGAAGATGCAAAAAAATACTTCCACAATATCATATTTGATGATCAGTGCTTATAGCACTTTGTGATTGATGCATCACAATGCGAAATCATAGAAGATAAACAGTCAAGCAAAAGAAATAAAAGCATTCGTAATAATTTAATTGACACAAATCATATGTTTTCAACAATTCAATATCTACGATTATGAAGCATGTAGCGTAAATTTGAATCTTTTCTGTCTTTTACGCATTTATACGCAAACAATCGGCAATTTAATTGACTCTACCATTGATTCTGACCATCCAGAACATAGAGAACCTCATTGAAATGGTTATGTTTGATAGAAATGGAATTGACCATGATATAAAATTGATTATAAAGAATTTTTGAACATTTATGACTATGCAGATTAAATAAGCCATTGATAAAATTGAGCAATGCTTCTTACCTTGACAATGAATATGGACAATAGCGGACCACTTGCAGTTGAACGAACTGTGTCAAAAAGGAAAATCACTTAAAACATACGTTTATTGACTTATATTTTTTATTTACTGATCAGTAAATTACTTTTTCCGCAGTAAATATAGCCTAAAAACGAATTTCACTACTGATACTGAATAATCTAAAATTATTACCTTTAAAATCGAAGAAAAGAGCACAAATCATTTTTCGTTCTTGCATTACTCCAACAACAAACGATTCATGCCCGCATGTGCAGAATACGGATGAAATATGAAATACAAAATGCAGCGTATTTACAGTCGATCAGAAAAAATCGCAAGAAATATACCGGCTAAACAAACAAAAATGTTTATCTCAATTTATTGATCCGCTTCATATAAGGAAAATTACGAGAGCAAATAAAACCAACAAAAAAAGTGCATTGCAGCCGTTGCGATAAGGCTGAAGCCATTGTGCGCACACGATTATAATCAAGAAAGTAGACTCTCTGCAGCGCCGTCGATTAGTGACGGCGAAATCGCCCGTAAATAGCTGGAAGTGATTTCGACAAATTGCGAAATACTGCATAATAACACCGATTAGTACTGAATTTTGTCATCATAAATCGACGGCGCTGCAGAATGTCTTGACACAAATTTTCTATGAGATTATAAGCGTGTGATTGTGCGCTTTAAGTTTATTGAATGACTTCATCGGTGTTCAGTAAAATCACGAACCAAAGTATAAAGGTCTATGAAATTGATTTTATAGAACGAGTAAAGAGTGATGACGCTTCGAAAAATCATGTCAGATTTTTGGTTGGCATAGAGTTACTATTTGAAGTAGAGATTTCTGTGTAATTTAATCATTCACCAAAATTATCAAAATGTTTCAAAGAAAAAATACAAAATATTCAGAATAATTATAAAATGTTCTAATGTATTGATCCAATTTCGATTCGTTTTCAATCAAGTTTCGAGTCGGTCATTTGCTTATTTACAGTTAGGTTTATTTATTAGTCAAGAACCAAATTTTATTTAAATGTAATCAACCATTGTACCCATTTGTAAGTTCAATCCAATTGGATTCATTTTTCCGGCTTTTTTTAGAGCCCAATTAATTCTGAATTGACGTTACACTAAAACACGGAAATAATCGAGATTAATCTTGACTAAAAATCCAACTCATAATCACAAATGATGAGTGTTTTTCGTTTTCTTCTTCTCCTTCTTACTCATAGAACTAAAATTGGTACGGTCAATAGGGTGGTAAATATTTAAAATATTTAAAATATTATATTTTGAAAACTTTTTTAGGCGATCAAAATCAAGAGTTTGAAAGGGTTTTATCTTTTATAAAAGATCAAAATATTGTACATATCGAGTCGATATGTATAATATTGTGGAATGGTCGATATTATCGACCATTCCACACCAAACCGACCAAGAATTGAATCGACCGTTTTCAAATTTTATATAATTTCGAACAGAAGTTTATGTCCCGTCAAAAATCTCAAATGCCTAAAAAATAATTTTCGCTTTGTTTAGTTGACAACTCCATCTATATTTATACTCAACTCCTTCAGCTACCGTTCATTTCGATAATAAAACTAGTGACAGCTTTCAACTGTCAGAAAACATTGATCACTTTTCCATTCTTGGCCAATGGCCATCAACGTCATTAGTTGAACTAAATATAGATGGATCTGCCTTCGAAATGCAAGGGGAACCATCAATATGAAGGCGCCTTAAGTACCTCGATTGAAAGGGGTCATTAGCCTCAAATTTCCGAAAAAATAGCAATTCACCCGTTATTGCCAAAACATACCATTTTTCTCCATTTTTAGTAGTTTTAGGCTATTATTCACTGCTCGTAAAATGTTTAGCGGTAGTCAATACCAAAGGTATAAAACCATCACAAATAGGAGAAAAATGATATTTGTTCAAACGTCAAATTCGATTTTTTTTAATTAGCACATTTCACATTCGTTTTAAGATTTAGTTGCTATCAATAGCCAAACGAAACCAACAATAGAACTTTGTAATATCATAGTTTTAACAACATCAATTCATATGCATTTATTGATGATGAAGATTTATTATTTTCCATCGATTAATATCAGTCATACACTGATATTAGATCAATTTTAAATATAAAAATTTCCAAAATATAACGCGAAAGAAAATTCGAGCAACCTGCTCACGAATTTCGTTGGCGGGAATATAGAACGAAAGTGAAGATAGAATACACACAGAAAAGAATCCCCGGAAATTTTGGGTGTTCGCCGTAAAATTTGACATTTATATATAAATTTCTATATACATTTTACCGGCAACACTTCAATTTTCCGGGCGATGACATATTTTCGAACATTTTATCAAATACTATGTATATTTTACCGCTTGAAATGACAGATGGCGCTAATTTCTGTTGGAATATTTGAAATTATGTCATCGCCCGGAAAATTCAAGTGTTGCCGGTAAAATTTGTATAGAAATTTATATATAAATGTCAAATTTTACGGCGAACACCTAAAATTTCCGGGGATTCTTTTCTGTGTGTAGAATTGATTGAAATTTAAGCGCAACTGTGTTATTCTACTGGTAATGTGAACTCGTGTAAAACCGATTCAAACCGATTGAAGCTATGAAGACGATATTAACTATGCATTAGATTGATAGTCAGTATTGTACGGGCGATAATTGCGCGAATGATGTCGCCTAGTAGTGCCATAACTTCAAACGACGGCAAAGTGTCGGAACTACCGTGTTTGTACACTTTATCATCAAAAGCACAGGCAGAGCACGGAAGTATGAATACAAACATAACGTTGCGGCAACTTTAGGAACTATCAATACTTCTTGTTGTCGCGAAATTCGTGAGAACAACAAAAAGTATTGATAGTTCTTAAAAATGCCGCAAATTGCTAATACATCTTATTTAGGCGCCACCGCTATCTTGCGCCGGCCAAAAGCATACGTTGAAGTGTTGCAACTTTGTTTTGAAAGAATAAATGGCAAATCATTCTTTTGTCTCTTTGTGGACATTAATTTCCACATTTTCCATAAAAAGTGAATTTTTTCACACAACTTATAACCGAATTGTATAGTCTCAACACTAGACCGAGAGCCCATGTACAAAATACTATATTGATAAGTCTCATGTCAGATAATGTGATCGTAGGTGCCAATTAATTAATTAATGCCAATATTCGGACATTTTTAATTTTCTTCTTTATCTTTTGCACTTTACGATATCTTGCCGCCGATATTAATAAAAAAATATGCTTAACTTTTTCACAATTTGCATGTCAGATATTTTGTGTACAGCTAAATTATCACAAAATTAGTTCAAATTCAAAATATCAGCTCAAAATATTTTGCACAATACTTTTTATTCCATTCTGAAATATCCCTCTATGTCGTTTTTCTCCACTTTGACACTTCGACATGAAATGACATAACCTCACTTCATCGAAATGAGTGAGACTTCAAAGTGAAATAAAAAGTGTTGTGCAGAACATTTTGAGCTGATGTTTTGAATTTGAATTACTTTCATGGCAATTTAGCTGTACACAGAATATCTGACATGCGAATTGTGTGAAAAGTGAAGCATATATTTTCATTGATATCGGCGGCAAGATATCATAAAGTGCAAAAGATAAGAAAGAAATTGTATTGGCCTTAATATCTACCTACGATCACATTTTCTGACATGAGACTTATCAATATAGTATTTTCTACGTGGGCTCTCGGTCTATTACACACC